CTCCCTCTCATGCTCTCTGTCTCTCATTGTCTCTCTCGCAAATAAATAAAGTCTTAAAAAAAAAAAAAAAAAGTGTTCCTATGGGGTGGTGGAAAGGATACTAAACCGGACTCCTGATTCCACTACTAATGAGCTTCCTGAGCCTCAGCCTTCAGGTCTGCAATATGGTGCCTTCTCCACTTTCACCCAAGGTCACTAAGGAGTCAAGCCCAAATGTCAGCTCCCAGGGCTCTCATTTTGGCCCCCGGCTGCCCTATGTGATAAGGGAGGGGGCTCTCTTCCTCCCCAATTCCAGTAAGGAAGGTTCTGAGTGGTGGAGTGGCATGCACAAGTGCCTTCCTGGCGATCTCTACCCCAACCTTCCTGTGTACCCCCACCCCGCCCCTCCTCAACCTGGCCCCTGGGCCTCACGCACCAGTCGGAAGGAGCGGAGCACGGACAGCCCTTGCACGTTGGCCAGGCCCAGTTCCACCAGGCTGAGGGTGACGATGATACTGTCGAAGATGTTCCAGCCCTGCTGGAAGTACTCGTAGGGGTCCATGGCGATGAGCTTCAGTACCATCTCTGCTGTGAAGATGCCGGTGAAGACCTGCAGGGTGGGGGGCGCCCCACATCGCAGAGCCTCAGGGAGCACAGGGCCTTGAGGGTCGCCCCCCACAACTCCCACCTCCTGGCAGAGCCCTGAGCGGGGTCAGGCGGTGGTACCCGTGGCCCACATGTGTGCGTGCGTGAGTGGAATGGCCCTGCCCCAGGGCACAGTGGGTACCACCCTGAGGGAGGCCTGAACCCATCCGCTTCTGGCCTTGTGCCCATGGGCCAGTCGTTCACTTCTTGGGGGCCTCCCCCCAGTCATAATATTTAGCACTCATACAGCCCTTTGCGGTTCACGTGATGACCTCACTGGAATGCCAATTTCTACGTAGTTGGGAGTGATGGTCACTTGTCCCAGAGATGAGACCGTTGAGACTCTGAGAGTAAGCGGCAAGTGCTTGCTCACGCCACCCATATGGGAATGAGTCAGACCTCAAACCCAGGTCTTGGGGTGCTTAATTCAGTCTTCCTGTCTCTACACCCTACCCTCTCTACCCTGATTGGCAGAACTCAGCAAACCTTGGTGGACTCAGAAGTCTAGGGTAGGGGCCAAAAGGGGGCAAGATCAGGGATCCAGGAGAAGGCCAGAGCTGCCCTCCACAAACCGGGCACAGGGGTGTAAGGGCTTCCTAGCCTCTGAAAGCTCCCTGGGCACAGCCCCCCTCCTGCCAGGCACCAGCTGCCCTGGTCCACAGCTTGCCCGGGCACATGCTGAACCCCACCCAGGAGTTGTCCCTGGCCATAGCAGGTGCCCAGACGGCAGCAGAGTGCGGGCAGGGGTGGGCAGGCGGTGGGCAGGTGGCAGGCTGGGCCCATCACGCACAGCCCGGCAGCTGCACTGTGAGTCCAGAGCACACGCTTGTCCCTCCAGCCCAGCCTGGCATGGCTGCCTTAGACATCTCCATGGGATAGAAGTGCCTGCCTCACAGGCTGGGAGTCCAGGGTCTGATGCCCACACCACCCATATCGTCCTCATCCTGCCGCAGGCCCCCAAATCTTATTCTCCTTGGGCTCTCCTCACCCTCAGGGTGGTGGGGGGAGCATCTGGCCCATTTGCCATCTGGAAACATTTCTAAGGGAATGGGGAAGGGCAGGGCAGGGCTGGAGGATGAGGCGGCTTTTTCCCTTTGTCAGGCTCCGCGGGGCTGGAAACGAGGTGATAATGCTCCTAATGGGCAGGGATAAGCAGGCGGATCAGTGCATGTCAACAATAGCTGGGCAGGAAAGGCCGCCGCCCAGAGCTGGCCTGGCCACGCTCGAGAAATGGTAGTGGGCAGGGCGCTGGGGTTGGGGGACTATGCCCAGGGGGCCTCTTGGGCCTGGGTGCCCAGGGCTATATGCCCCCCCTTTCAGGTCCCTTGGTCCCTCTTAGGCCCACATCAACCTCTGAAAGTGGAGACCTGTCACCCAAGCCCCCACTCCCCCAACTCTGCCTCCAGGGCATGGCCTGGACCCCAGACCCCCTGAGTCCTAATTTTAAAATGTCTAGCACCTCATTCCCATTCTCTCTGCCTCCAAATACCCTAAAACCCAAATTCCACATCCCATGGGTCACCCCATGTACCTCCCGTGTATCTCAACTCCTGCCCCCCATATACTGGGAGAGAATAAGCCCAGCTTGTCCCCATATGCCCCCCAATAGTGCCCCGTATTTCCGCACAGCCCAGATGGCCCCATAGGGCCCTGTGGCCCTTCTCTCTCCTGTCCTGCCTGGGAGTGACACCTCTTCCTGTCCCCTCCCTACCAGGTTGCCCACGGTGAGCACGTTGTCAAAGTGCTCTGTCATGGGGTAATGCTCCATGGCCATGAAGAGGGTGTTGAGCACAATGCAGATGGTAATGCCCAAGTCCACGAAGGGGTCCATGACAATCAGGTGGATGATGCTCTTGAACTTCATCCACGGGGTGCAGCAGTTCCATATGAGCACTTTGTGGGCACACTTGTACCACCACGGTGGGCACTTCTGGTGGGCCTCTTCCAGCTCTGGGAGTAGGGTAGAAACACACCTGCTGAGGACCCCCACCGCCACCCCAAGTGTCCTCCATCCCTGACCCAGATCTTAGGTCCCACCTTCCAGGCCTGCCCCTTGAGCTCCACATCTCAAACCCATCCCCTCAGCCAAGCCTACTTCAAGCCCCGCTCTGGGGGGTGGGGGTGTCACCCTCAAGACCTGCCCCCAGAGACCCCGCCCACATGCCCCAACCCACCCCAGTGTCCCGCCCCCAAAGCCCCGCCTATTAATGCTCCCACCCTCAAACCCCCACCCCCTCAGCCAGCCCTACCTGTAATCCCTTCTCTTAATGCCCCACCTCAGGCTGGGCCTTCTTGGCACACCTCACAAAGCCCGCCCTTCAGTGACTCCCACCCTCTGCCTGTGGCCCCCGGGGCGGTGATCCTGGCTCGGGAGACCCCTGATCTCTGGCTGGGCCCGAGGGTCTGCAGGGAGAGGTGGGAGGCCACCGCAGAGGGTTGGGCCCCGTTCCACTTGCTGCTGGCCATTGCCATTCAGAGCAGACCAAGGATCCCCCTGAGGCCTTTCCCTCCCATTGCCAGCAAAGGTGACCCCTCCACACTGTCCCCAGCCTGTCTGTCCTTTCCCATCAGAGGGGCTTTCTGGAAACATCGCCTATTCTTGCCACCCCAGCTCTAGAGTCCTGGGGTTCTGTCAGGCCCATGGATAAAGCTGCCCTTCCTGCTGGCCTGTGGGAGTCCGCAGCCTCAGCGTGATCTTATTTCATTACCACCAGAAATTTATGAGACAAGTGCTATCAGTGACCCCCCATTTCATAGATGAGGAGAGAGTCAGGGGCCGTCCCATGGAGATCTGGTTTCGAGTGCAGGATTGGGACACCCCAGGAAATTAGCTAATTGGACCTCGCAAAGGCTGCAGATTCTAGTCTGATAGTAACAGCCCCACCCCCAAGCTGGTGACCCCCAAGTCACTGCAGGTGATTCAAACAGTGTCTGACACCCAAAACTTCTCACAGCAGTCCCAGCCAGGGCAGCGTTGAGTGACCTCCTCAGCCAGTGACACCAAGTACCCCCTGTGGCATTCTCTGGCAGGGCACAGACCCCTGGATGCCTGTCATATGAGGTGGGATGAGAAGGTGTCCTCCAGAGGTCTCCAAAGTCCTCTAGGCCCTCCCAGTCCTTCCTGGCACAAGGAAGGGGAGGGGAACCTGAGAAGGGGACCAGATCTCTTCCATGTCAGATTTCCTTCTTCCTTTGCTTCCTCCTCCCCTTCTCCTCCCTCCTCCTATTTCCCTCCCTCCCCGCTTTCCTCTCATCCATCCACACACCCATGTCTCTTCCCATTCACTGATCTTTCAGCCCATCCATCCATCCATCCAGCCATCTGTGTTTGTGTCTATCCACCCTGTCCTTGTTACCTTATCCTGTTCTTTCCCTGGCACTTGTAGGGCAGTATGGGGATTTGAGGGAATCTGGGACTCTACCTGGGCAGAGTTTGACCTTTGACCTTTAACTTCTGTCCAGAAGACATTTGAGGAGCAGGATTTCCAGTTTCCAGAACACTGGGCCTTCCTGGTTAGTATGATCCTCCTGTCCTTCCCCATTGCCTTGGCAGCCCCCGAGGTCCTCCCCCGGAAGCCCCCAGTTCCCATAGCAGCCTGGCCTTGCAGCCAGAACTGGGCCGGGCTAAGCCAGGATTATATTTCTCACGGCCATTTCTTCGATACCTATATTAAGTTACTGTCCTTCCAAAGCTGGGCCCAGCCAGGCCCCACCTGCCCGCCCCCCGCACAGGAGCCCAAGTGGCCTGATGGGCAGGACAAGCAGAGTAGGATGTCCAGAGGGGTGTCAAGCACTCACCTTCCATAGCGTCTGAGATAGCGCTGTCTGCACTGCAGCTCTGCCGGGGAGGCCCCTTCTCCCCCAGCGATGTGTCTAGGCTGCCGTTGCAGTCTTTGCCGTGGGCTGGGTCCCCATCTGCCTCCCCGCCTTCCAGAGCCTGGGCAGACTTGGCCTGTGGATCAGCAAGGATGGTGGGCACGGAGTCCATCTTGGAGCCCGGTGGACGGACTAATGGACTCTCAGAGCTTCTTTCCAAGTCCTGAGCCTGGTGCGGTTTGGGAGGCAACCTCGGGGGTGATGGGATTGACAGGGTAGGGACCAAAGTGACTGAAGACCTTCATCCCTGAAGACCCACAGCTCTCGGAAGCCTGGACTGACCCTACACTCCAGGAGGTGGTGAGGAAATGGGCGGCTTCACACCAGGGCCTCCCCAGGACCCACCTCTCCCTCAGCATGGGCCCATATCCCACCCAGAAAGAATCACAAGACCATAGATATTTGAGCTGGAAGGTCACTTCAGGTTTAACTACTCCAGATGCCTTGTTGTTTATAGGGACACTGAGGCACAGAGCTGCGGATTACTCTTTCTACTGCCTGGATGCCTCCCATCCCCGCAAAGCCCCCAGCCTGGGGCCTTGTGCTCACCCTGCCTTGCAGCCCCTACCCCATGCCTCTCCCTCACCCTCAGCCTGCCCGGGAGAACCCAGGCTGAGGGCCTCCTCTCCCTGAGTCCAGACCTTCCCCAGCTCCTCCTGCTGCTTTTTGAATTTCTCCAGCATCTGCTGAAACTCTTCTTCTTTCTCCTGATCCTCGGCCAGGGTGGCCTCATTCTGCTCTGCATACGCCATGGCCACTACCGCCAGGATCAGGTTAATGAGGTAGAAGGAGCCCAGGAAAATGATGACCACGAAGAAGATCATGTAGGTCTTGCCAGCAGCTCGAAGGGTCTGGGAGGAGGGGGAGAGGGAGAGGGAGAGGGAGCGTCCCATGGCCCCCTGCCTGCTTTCACCCACCACCCCTCTCCACACACCCACTGCCCAGATAGGTAGACAGGGAGGGTCGCTCACAGAGCCTGGCGATTTGAGGACCTTGAGGCAGGGGATAGCCATCCTTGGCAGGCTAAGCCACATTCTGGGGAGCTTCAAAATATACACTTGGGACCCAGACTTTCCTGGTCTCCTGGCTCAGAGAGCCCTAGGACCTGAGACAGACATCTTGAGATTAGAGAGCCAGGATAAAAAAAAAAAAAAGAAGTGGTGAGCACAGGCTTTGGGGTCAACTTGAATCCTACCGTTGCTACCGTGCCTGGCATCTAATAAGAGCTCAACAAATAATAGTTGCCATTGTTATTATTATCATTAATATCATCAGTGTTAGAAACATTACCAGGGACCAGAAGGCACTGAGGCTCCAGACGCAACCTGCCTACCATGCAAACGGTAGAAGCTAAATAATTGTGTAGGGGCAGGGTTGAATTTCTAAGCTACCCTCCTGGTTGCTGTGAGGCCTGGGGGGTCTGTACCAGGCCCAGATCTCAGCGCTTAAGGCGAAGGTGGCAAAGGAAGAGAAGGCTGTGGCCAGATGTGGGCAGGTCCCCAGTGTCAGAGGCCTCCGAGAAGCTGTCTGCAGGGGTGCTGACGGGGGTCTCAGGGAGGAGGGGGCCTTGTTACAGGTCGGGCCACGCCCTGAGGAGGCTGTGGGGCTGGGGCCAGGTGGTGGGGGGGCTTCGAGCAGGGCGGGGGCAGTCGTACCAGCTGGAAGAGGTTCTCCCAGTAGTCCTGGGTCATGAGGCGGAAGAGGGCCAGGAAGGCCCAGCTGAACGTGTCGTAGCTGGTGTAGCCGTAGTTGGGGTTCCGCCCAGCCTTGATACACTCGTAACCCTCGGGGCAGTGCCTGTGGATAAAACAGGCTGCTGGCTTTAGGGAGGAAGAGAACTCCAGCCGAGCAAAAGATGGGGGGAATCCCAAGAGGAAAAATCCTATAGTTCTGTCCATGTCCCCCAAACAGGGAAGGGTCCCATTCACATCCACGGGTTTTCCTTACCTTCCCCTCCACCCCACGTCCTTGTCCCTAGTCAGCTCCCGACTCCTGACACCCCTGGGACACCTCTTCCCAGCCCCCCGTATCACTCACCCAGCATCGCTGCTGTTCCCACAGAGCAGGGCGTCATTGGCACCCTCCAGGAAATAGAAGTTCCCTTTGGGAGTCAGAGGCCACAAAGGAGACGTGTCACCCACGTGCACACACTGTGGACACTCGCACTCACTGCACGCCTGGGGGCACATCTGTGTGCACCACATGCACCAAATGGAGGCTCTCTGGCTGCCCCTGTCCCTCCTTTAAGGTCTTTGGGTAGATGCCTTTCAGGGAGCCCAGCTGCAAGCCGTGTCAGCTCAGTGCCTCGGGTGTGTGGCTGGGCGGTCGGGACGCAGCAGGGGCACAGAGAGCCGGCCGGCCGGTGTGTGCACTTGCACGCAGCTACCGCACGTCTGTGTGGGACGCCCGACTGAGGGGTGAGCAGGTGGGGGGAGAGCTGGAATCCAGGGGCCAGGTTGAAGAAGGGGTACCTTTTCTTAATTAGCCAGAAGGCCTTGTATGGACTAACGGTGGCTGCGTGAAAACGTGTGGCTTGTGTGTGTGCCTGTGGAGTATGGGGTGTGACCAGGTGAGTCCATGGGTGGCGGGTGGTGGCCCTGCCAGGGTGCCAGGAGGTCATGTTATGGGGGAAAATAAGGGATGTGTCGGTTAGGGAATGGGGACGATGGGCCGCTGCTTTTCATAGGGAAAGCCGGAGGATTTTCAAAGCCATGGGGCATTCATTGTCACGCTCACCCTTTGAGAAAGGAATTTTTTTGTTAAAGATTTTATTTATTTTTTTGAGAAAGAGAGCGCGTGCACGGGAGCATGCACGAGCAGAGGGGAGGAGGAGGGAGAGAGTGGCAGACAGAGGGGTATAAGCGGACTCCCTGCTGAGCAGGGCACCCCATGCGGGAATCGATCCCAGGACCCTGGGATCATGACCTGAGCCGAAGGCAGACGCTTCACCGACTGAGCCACCCAGGCGCCCGAGAAAGGCACTGTTGCCTCAGTTTTAGAGGTGAGGGTTCTGAGGGTTAGGGAGACCACGTGACTTGTCAGAGGTTCCCCAAGCTGGTAAGCGATGGATTTAAGCTTCGGTGCCCCCTGCTGCTTATCCTGTGTGAGGGGCTGCCCTAGGGGCTGGGACAGATCCCCCCGGCCTCCCCAGCCTGCGCTCTTACCTTCGTCACTGATGTAGGCATCCCAGTCAAAGGTCGAGTTGCTGGCCCAGCTCTCATGGCTGTTCCACGTGTCGTTGCCGTTCCACGTGTCGTTGCCGTTCCACGTGTCGTTGCCGTTCCACGTGTCGTTGCCGTACCACGTGGTGTTGGTGTCATTGAAGGGCGGGGGCCAGCGCACGCACTTCTGCCGCAGGTTTCCCATGAAGAGCTGCAGCCCCACCAGTGCAAAGACACTCAGGCAGAAGACGGTGAGGATCATCACGTCCGACAGCTTTTTCACGGACTGGATCAGGGCCCCCACAATCGTCTTCAGCCCTGACCAGAGGGAGGGTGAGGGTAGGGGTTTCGCAGGGTGAGAGCTCCCTCTCCTATCCCCTCAAGCCTTTGCCTACACATCTCCTTCAAGGCTTGATATATGAGGGGCACCACTTCCCTGAAGCCTCCCCAAATGAGCCCACCCCTCTCCCATCTCATCCTTGATGTGGAGCCTTTGAATGGCCACAGAATCTCGGCCACTAGAAGAGTAAGCTATAAGGACTTTCCAGGTTGTTGCCTGACTTGTAGAGTAACACACAGGCCCACGGTGGAGTTGAATGTCACCAGGTCAACACTCCCAAACTGTGTTCTACACAACACTGATCTCCCCAGCTGTGCCCTTAAAAGAAGGGGTTCGATAAATGTTTGGGAAAGGCTCAGTTCTAGATTCCGCTCTTGGAGCATGACTGTAGATTAGCCTATCAAAGGCTCTGACAAGTCCTGCAGAAACAAACACACACTTTAATACCACATTTTCTTAACTTACTTGACAACAGAACCCTTTTTCTTATAATGCCTATTATAAGGACATAGCTCTGGACTGAGCTGGAGGAACAAGGAACAGCAGCTCTGGACTGAGCTGGAGATCTTATTGCAACCTGCCCCTTTGGACAGACAAAGGCATAGAAACTCTTAAAGACTTCCAGGGATGGATTCCCATCATTTATGGAAGAGCTGTAACTTTTTCTTTGGGCCTAATCAGAGTGTCTCTCCCTTCCATATCAGTTCATTTCCTTTCCTTTTTTTTTAAGGTTTTATTTATTTATTTGACAGAGGGAGACATAGTGAGAGAGGGAACACAAGCAGGGGGAGCGGGTGAGGGAGAATCAGGCTTCCCGCTGAGCAGGGAGCCCAATGTGGGGCTCGATCCCAGGACCCTGGGACCATGACCTGAGCCGAAGCAGACACTTAACTGACAGAGCCACCCAGGCACCCAGTTCATTTCCTTTTCTTATCCTGATGTGGAAAACAGGGGCTCAGCAGCTGCCTTATCAAAACCCTCCAAGCTGGGAGGATGCTGGAAGCGTGGTGTTGAGGACCGTGGCCTTCACTCGGTGGCCAGAGAGCAGTATGGCCTTCGGAAAGCACTTCCTCTCCCAGGGCCTGTCAGGGTGTCACCTTCCTCAGCCACAGTTTGAGGGCATTGGACTAGGGGAAAATTATGGTACTTTCTAGCACTCAGACCTAATCCCCCTCCTCCCAGGGTCCATCTCTTTTCAGACCGTCTTTCTCTCCTTTCGTGAACCTTGTCTGGTTTCTCCATGTGCTTTTTTGAGGACCTGGGTTTTCAGGATTCTATTTATTTCATGTTTCTCGCTGCATTACTTTGGAATTGCCCTGGCCTGATTGCTCAGTGGGTATGTGGCATGTTCCTTATTGAGCCCTCGGGGCCGGCACGTTCCATCACTCATTCCCTTTGTCTCTCCCTAGTGGAGTTCTCTGCTCTGCCCAGTCTGCTCATTTTATTTAACACACATCCATGCACATTTAATCCTCGTAACAGCCCAATGAGTGGGACTATTATTATGCACATTTTATAGAGGAGGAAACTGAGTCATAGGCAGGTTGAACCACTTGCCCGAAGTCCAAGTTAGGAAGTGGTGGAGATGAGACTTGAGCTCAAGAAGTCTGGCTCAGAGTCTGTGCTCTAACCACCTTGCTGTGCTGCCTCTCAGACGCCCATCCTCCAGCCTCCAGCCCCTGCTCCTCCCTGGCCATGGGGCACCCCCAACTGTGTCCAGGTTTTGGTGTGAGAGTGTTGTGACCCCGCGTCAGGCTCCTGGACCTGAGTGTCAGGTTCCAGGCCTGGGCATTGGTGGGGGGAGGCCTGCTGGCTCAGGCAGAGGGTCCCTGCACCTTCCCAGTACCTGGGATGACCGTGATGGTTTTCAGGGCCCGCAGCACCCGGAAGGTTCTCAGGGCTGAGATGTTGCCCAAGTCCACAAACTCCGTCAGGTACCTGGGCAGGGGGGTTGGGGTGAAGGCTGTGTCAGAGTCGGGAGTGGATGTGAGGGCAGAAATCACAGCTTCTCTAGGCCCGGAATGAGGATTGCTGAGGAATCCTTGTGGTTGGGGTAACCACAGGGGTTGGGGGGGAAGGTCAGGTCAGACCCCCCAAGGTTCCTCTTGGGTCCTGAGAGCTGGGGAAGACATTGCAGGAGTTTTTCTGGGCGTGGGGGTGGCAAGGGTAGAGGCCTGTGGGATTGGGGTCCAGCCCTGTTGCCTGTGGCTGCACACGGCGTGTGGAGGCTCACGGAGGGGGCATCAGGAGAGCCTCCCCACCAGACCCCAGCAATGGCAGCTCGCCGCACACCTGCCCGTCACCCCCGCAGTCCGTCCCTCCCAGAGGGTCAGCCCACTCAGCTGCCCTCTTTGAGGCCTGGCACCCTTCCCTCACCCTCCTCCACCTCAGGATGCCCTCCAGGCCCTGCTCACGCCATGGTGATGACGCTGAAGTCCAGCCAGTTCCAGGGGTCCCGGAGGAATGTGAAGTTGTCAATGCAGAAGCCCCGGGCCAGCATCTTGATGAGGGACTCAAAGGTATAGATCCCCGTGAATGTGTACCTGGTCGGGAGAGTGTGCCCAGGGCCAGGGGTGGTGAGGATGGACCTCCCAGGAGGGAGGTCACAACAATGAAATATGCCGCCCGGGGGGTTGAGGATATTGGTGAGAGTGACAGTGTGCACCACCCTAGGGTCTTACGGTGTTGGTGGGGGGGACAGTTGCAGTGTGTGTCTTCCTGGAAGTGCCACTTGGGGCATCCTTGGGGTGCAGACCCCTGGGGTGGGCTGTGTCCCAGACCGGGGCGGGGTGGGGGGAGGGGGCCTCTGAGGAGACTTACTCCACGTGCTTGGACCAGGAAGGCGGGTTGCTCATGGTCATGAACACACAGTTGGTCAGGATGGTGATCATGATGAACATGCTGAACAGCGTCAGGGGGAGGGTCAAGGAAAGTGAGGGAGCAGGTGGGGAGGGGAGGTGGGCGGAGGGCCTCCTCGCCTACAGCACCTGGCTTTGCCCGCCCCTAACCCCTTCTTGCCCCTGCACTCGCCCCACTTGGGCAGGATATGAGTGGATGAGCACTTTGATGGCGCAGCGTCTGATGATGCTGAAGGGGCTCAGCATGTAGAGGGCGGGCGTAGCAGAGAAGCGGAAGATGGCCTTGCCCTTGTTAAGGACGATGAAGGTCTGTGGCAGAGAGAGTGCTGTGAGGTCTAGGGACAGGCAGACAGACGGATGATGGACAGGCAGGGAGAAGAAACCCTACCGGGTCCAGACCTTCTTGTCGCTGTAGTAGGGGTCCAGGTCCTCCAGGGGGATGCCGATGACCTCCGGTGGGGGGTCCCCGTAGATGAGGGGCAGGTTCTTGCCGGCCTCCAGGTCGCTGCGTGGCTTTCTTTCAGACTCCTCGATCTCCATCTGCTTGTTCCGCTGCTGCCGGGCCTCCTCCTCCTGCACCCGCCGCTCTATGGCTGCCAGGGACTCCCGGGTGAAGGGGCGCAGGCTCTCAGGGCCCAGAGGCACCAGGGTGGGCAGAGATGAGCTGGCCATTCTCGCATCCTGGGCTCGGCGGCTGGGAGGGAGGCGGGTCGCCGGGGTGGCTGCAGGGTGCCGCCCCCCGGGTGCTTGGCGGCTCCCCCGCCCTGGGCCTGCTGTCTGCTACTCACCTCCTGCCTGCCCCGGGGCCAGGCCGGGGTGGTCAGCACGCAAGGCCTGTCGGAACTGGGAGCTGTGCCTGCAGGGCCTGGGTGCTGGACACAAGAGCATCACCCCCCGGGCCTGCACCACACTCTCCCCAGCAGGGGGTTGGCTGCCCTTGGGACCCACAGCAAACCCACCAGGTCCTCTTCAGTGCTGGGGACTTGGGGCCAACGCCCCAGTGCCCTCCACCGCTTCCTGGGCCCAAGCTCCAGAACTGTGCGGCGTCGGCCTGTGGGGACAGAGAGAACCACAGCTGGCTACGCTCAAGCGGCCTGAGGCCGGCAGCGAGGCGGACAGGACTCGAAGGTGACAGTGCAGGCGGCCCCAAGGATGGCTCAAGATGAAGGGCCTGGTGGCAGCAGCCTAAAGCAGGAAGGGCAGGTGGATTTCGTCTTAAGGGCTGCTGTGGACTGCCTAGAACTGCGGGCAGACCCCATCGAGAAAGGAGAATGTAGCCAATCTGCCTGTATTTGCCATCCCTGGCCTGGAGGGAAGGGGAAAGAAAGATGTGGGGGGCGGGCCACCCTGTCCTGAGCCCTGGGGAAGCATGATGTTGGGCGAGGAGAGGGAAGAAGGAAGGGACCCAGGCTCTGCAGAGGGTCCCACCAGCTCCCTCCCATGGAACTTGTGGGATCTAACCCGTGCGCAAGCAGAGGGGCTGGAGCAAAAGGATGCAAGCTGTGTGTGTGCAGGGGGGAGGGTGGGGGCATGTCAGGAGAGCCTACAGATGCCACTGCGGAAGAGGAGGACACAAAGGCAAGGTCATGGGGACAAAGGCATGGGAGTTTCAATGGCGGGGCAGGGCTAGAGGTTCCAGGGACTGTTTCTGGCTGGTGGTCCCTGTGTGGACTGGGTGGATAAAGGCGCACCCACCCGGAGCTTCAGAGGCCTGTGAGAACAGTGTGGACTGTCCCTTGGCCTCTCCTGATGGCCCCGCTGCTGCCCAGCCCTCCTGAGCCCATTCCCAGTGGAGGTGGTGGGTCACTTATCCGCAAGGCCCTGGGGAATGACCCACATCAGCAGGCAGGCACATGGGGACCACGGCAGCCCAGTCACCCGAGCCACTGCAAGGCCTGCCCGCACGGACACCCCAGAGCCAGCTCTCCACCAAAGGGGCTCAGGCAGACCCCGTCAGAGGCTCCCAGGGCTCCACGTGAGGGCGGCCCTTTCTCGGCGTGCAGCGTCCCTGCCCTGGCCAGCACGGCACTTCCCCGGGCTTGGTCAACAGGTGGGGAGGGCGGCCCAGGGAGAGGCCAGAGCCATTGGGCGGAGCCGGCCACGCCCCCCTGCCTGGCGGCCCAGCTGCTCCCTACCATCACCCAGGGAGTCGTGTTTCCACGGGGATGACTCTGCTCATCCCTGCTGAGCCCGTCCCTCAGCTGCTCCTCCGCCCCGTCGTGGGCGTGGGAGCGCGCGTGTGCGAGAGCATACATGTACACACACACACACACACACACCCCATCCTACCCTGCCGCTGGCCACACACCTTCCCGCCTTCATCCCATCCCCGGCCCCACAGACATGCCCATACACAAGATGGCCCTGCAGAGACCCCATGGCTGCTGGGCGCCCTCCCAGTTCACAGGCCTCGCTTGGCAACAATCCTCTGGCCTGATGCTGCCCACTCTGCCCTTCACGGGGCCCCAAGTGGGACGACGGAGAACCAGAGACAGTCTGGCTCCCCCCCAGCACTCGTGGAAGCTACACTGGCTGGAGTCCCTAGAGGCCCCCAGCGCACGAAGTCTTCAAAGCTCTAAGGTCAGCAGTAATTCATGCCCTGCTTGCACGAGGGTCTGTTGGTATCCGTCTCCCCCGCCAGACTCCACACAGCCTGGGGTTTGGGGTCATCACTGAATCTGGTGCCTGGCACGTTGGCACATGTCTGTTTAGAGATTGCTGCCTGGCCCCCGCCTCTTCCTTCCCCTGGGCTCTCCCCTCCCCCGGGCTCCAGACCCACAGACGGCACAGCGGCTGTGTGAACTCCTCCTGCTGAACCCAGCCGGCCCCAGGCAGACTCTGCATCTCCCCCTTCAAAATCTGCACTTCCTCCTAAATTCCTCTCCCACCCTCTTCACCGGCCTTGAAGCCCCTTCATGTCTGGCTGTCTTGTTATGAGAGGGAGAAAGTGCTGTCCCTGGCTAGGCCAGTTGAGGCATGGTTTTGGCTGGTGGTACACCTGGTCCATTCCCAGGTCCAGCACCCACAAGGCTCTCCATCCTTCAGGCTCTTGCTCCTTCATCGCCCCTCACCTGCTCTGTCCAGATCCCCCCCACCTGCCTCCCTACTTCCCACTGGGCTCCCCGGTAATCCACCATCCACATTTCTGAAATCACAAATCTGATCAAACCTGCGTTCTCCTTCAGTGGCTTCTTACTGCTTAGTAGCGTGTCCACACCCTTCCACCTGGCTCCCCAGGCTCGCCACGACCCCATCCCTACTTTATCACCCTCCCCTGCCCCGCACGTACCCACCCTCTGGCTGTGCCATCTCCATCCTCACAAATGGGCCAAGCTGTTTTACAACCCCCCCCCACCCAGGCCTTTGCTTATGGTCTGCTTGCCTCCTGGGGCACCCCTCCTTTTTGTCACCCCAGAGAACTTTAATTTGTCTTTCTAGACTCAACCTACACAAGAACCACTACTTCCAGGAAGCCCTCCCTGGGCACCCTGGCTGAGTGGACTTCTCCTTTGTACCACCCAAGTACCTAATACTGAACAAAAGGGTTTTTGTGTGTGTGTGTGTGTGTTTTTTTTAAGATTTTAAGTAACTTTACCCCCAATGTGGGGCTCGAACTCACAACCCTGAGATCACAAATCGCACGCTCTACCAACTGAGCCAGCCAGATGCCCCATAAAAGGTTGTTGAATGAATGGATGAGTGAATGAATGAGAGGAGCCCTCCACCTTTGCCCCCTTTCTCCTGTAAGCACACCCTGAATCTAAATCATGACCAGAGACCACATCTCCTCTGATATCCCCTCTCCTCACTTCCTACCTCTCAGCTCACAGTCAAGTGCCCGTTGCTGTGATCCTTGGGCTTCTTCTGGCCTTCACCCCTTGTCCCTGCACTTTCTCCCTCTCCAACAGAACCCTCTGACTTGCCCAGCTCAAGTATAAGTGCCATCATCGCAATCCCTCCTCGAAAATACTCTCAACTCCGGCCTCCTCTCTCCTTCCATCGCACTCATCTGGGGAAACCGCAGCCCGCCCATCCCAGTTGTGCCGTTCCTGGGTCAGCCCCTGCGCGGCTGGATGCTGCTGGAACAAAGGCGGGGCCGGGCTGGGGTCACAGTTGACGTCGTGGTTACAAACACCACGTGTGCCCTCACTTTTGCCCTGGGGGTGCAGGTTTCTCTGGCGGCTTCACTTCTCCACTTGGTGACAAAACCATCCCATGCCTTCTCTTCTTTCCTCCAACCCCCCACACTCCTCCCTAGGGTGCTCCCAGCCAGTGACTTTGCCTCAGCCTTCAATAAGAACATAGCATCACACCCCATTTCACTGACAAAACCATCTTCGCTGCCCCCTGCCCCCGCCATCCTGCTAAACGGAAGACGGGGAATCACCAAAGGCCAGGCCTTCCACGTGGGCTCGGCCCCGACCCCTCTTGCCTTCCCAAGGATCTCATTCTCTAGTTATCGTCTCTCTACCACCGTGAACTTCTTCCTGTCTATGACCAGGCTCTCCTATCGTGATAATAATGGCGGTGGTGACAGAAACCGCCCTCCCAGCCTCACACCTCCCTTCATCTATTGCCCCATTTTTCTGTTTCCCTTCATGGAGAAACTTCTTAGAAAGTGTCTACACCAGCTGTCTTTACTTCCTTACCTTTTGTTCACTCTCCAGCCCATTCCAACCTGGCTTCCATCCCCCCACTCAACTGAAACGGCTTTTGTCAAGTCACTGGCACCCTCTCTGCTGCCAAGTCTGCCGAACACGTTTCTGTCTTCACCTCCCTCAACCTCTCAGAAGCATTCAACCCAGTTGGCCGCAGCCCCCTTCTGGAAAGGCTCTATTCGCTCAGCCTCCATGAGAGCACGTCCATGGTTTCCCTCCTACCTCTCTGGCTGCTTCTTCTCAATTTCTTTGCTTGTTCCTCTTTCTCTGCCCAATCTCTAAAGTTTCTCAGGGCTCAATCTGGGTCTGGATGGCATCATTCCTAGGACTGTAAATAGTGTTACAGGAATAGCATCACTTCTCCTTTGAACTCCAGACTGATGTATGCAATTGCCAACTGGACGACTCCATGTGGATAGCTAAGAGGTATCCCAACCTAAAGTATCTGCGATGAAGCATTTGCGCTCTTCAACTGGTCCAACCCATAGTCTTCCTCAACCCAGAAAATGTCCATCCATCCATCTGGTTGCTCCAGTCAAATATCAGGGTGCCTCCCTGAATGCTTTTTTCCCTCACCTTCTACATCCAGCCCATCCAAAGTTCCATTAATACCATCTCCAAAATATACATGACCTCCACCTTTTCCCCCTGGACCATATCACAATAATCTCTTGCAATAGCCTGTTTCCTGCTAACCGCTTTTGCCCTGCCCTCTGCAAATCCGTTCCATAGAGCAGCCAGTGATCTTTTAAAAACAAGAAACTAATCATGTTGTTTCTTCTGCTTAAATTTCTCCAGCAATTTCCTGTTGTGCTTAGAACAAAACCTAAATGTCTTACTGTGACCTACAAGGCCCAGGCAATCCAGTCCCTGCCTCCCTCTACACCCTTGTCTCCTGATTCCTCCCTGTTCCCTCTGCCCCAGGCCTGCTGACCTCCTTCCAGCTCCTGGACCACTGGGCTCATGCCTGCCTTTGGCCTTTATCCGGCCCTCTGCTCCCCTCCCTCTTCACCTGGCTCTTCCATCTCACCCCCCAGTCAAGGCTCAAATGTCTCTTCTCCAAGTGGCTTTCTCCTTCTTTACTCTCTATCAGTCCCCTGTGTTTTCCTTGACATCATATGTCATCATTGGTAATTACTTAAACAAGCAATTTGCCTAATTTATTTGTCTGTGTCCTCCACTAGACTGAAATGCCAAGAGGGCAGGAGCTGTCTGTCTAGCTCACTATAGCCAGTCCTAGGACTGAGCACACAGTAGGCACTCAATACGTGTTTGCTGAAAGAATGAGTGGAGAAAGACTTGGATACAGACCTTTCCAGGCATAAAATGGATTCCTATACATTTCATTCATTCATCCATCCATCCATCCATCCATCCATC